GAAAGTGTAGCATTTGTTATTTCTCAAAAAAAAAAAACAAAAAATGAAAGCACAGAAGAAACCGAGAGCAACGTACAATAGGAAATGCTATACTAGCTGCTTTATCAATCGCAGCTCCCAGTTCGCTGCCTTTCGTCCGTCGAAGGCTGATTTCAGCTATGCTTCTGGAATACAGTGAATTCAGCATTAACTCTTTGGCGACAATGGCACCCACCGGTGGGTGCCACTGTCCTGTGGGTGCCAGCTTAAAATTTTTTCTTCAAAATTTAAAACATCTGTAACATATCGGTAATTAAAAGTAAGCTTCATTATATCTATGTTTAGCATGGTTTACAAAAAAGTCCAACAAGAATTGATTTATATAAAATTTTAAAATTTGACATTTAGTTCTCAGGATTCTTAACCGGAGTTTCGCATTAAGGACTGAAGATTAACTGTTGATGAGGGCTTCTTCATTTTTTCGTAATCCTCAAACACAGGGAGGGGTCCGAACTGCATCAGAAATTCTACTGTACACATAAACTTCTAGAGTGTTTACTCTGCATCCTTTGAAATACTAGTTTCCCTCCCAGACTCTTTCCAACAACAGATGGTGTGTAAAATCAGAATAGGTTATGTTTGGTGTATTGCTAAAGTGAAAAATATATAGAAAGTCTGCTTATAAGGAATTTCTTGCCCCAAATGGAACAAGATTTCGGCGCGCCAAAAAGAGGTGTGGTCCCATGAGTCGGTTACGTGCAAATCCACATTATCGTCGAAGGGAGATAAAAGAATATTGGGAAAGCACGGCTCATTGGAAGTACACATTCGATTTCCATACCCTCAAATGTTCCTTTCTCTGAATCACATTTCCTTATTCGAGGATGAAGCAGCACGGTCAGCTCTCGGGTGGGTAAAACGGTAATACAAGTAGCGAGAGAGTGCTACAAGTGTAGACTCAAGCAAATTATTTGAGAGACTCTTCCCTTAACGCAAATGCTAAATTGAAAATGCGAATACTCTGCAAATAATTCAGCACACCATGACTCACCTCCCTTGTATTGTGTTTCGGAACATTCCCCAAATTCCCCAATAAGGAAGAAAGCAAGAAAGAGAAAATTATTCCAGTAAGAATAGGGAGACCTTGGTGCGGACTGTCACACAATGTCGTCAGCAAAGAATATGCTCCCCTGGCGAGATGTCCCAGAAAAACGTGGTGCGCGGTTTGAGCTCAACGAGGTCCCCACTGACCGTGGGCTACTTCCTACGACGCTTACTTTAAAGAGCAAACCCTCCGGATTAAAACTGGTGCTATGAGCGCTTCGTAGTGATAGCTTAGCTGCGGAACGACCTGAAAGTGGGAAGGAAAGCAAGAGAAGTCTTTGAGAACGCTGAAACTAAGGCCTTAACCTTCAGTAAGGTCGGATGTGGTACGATGGCGAGACAGGGCGGTCAAAGAAGACAAAATTCGCGAGATTGAGCACGTCATTCAGGAGAGGACGCTGATCTCTACACCAATGCACGCTGGTCTCACCATCTCTCGCGTTGGGTGGGAACCGTTGCAACCGGGGTCGATGGTTGCAGGCTCGTAAGGATTACGTAATAATCGTTGCAATTCTAGCGAGGACGTTGGATTGATTTAGGCAGGTACGGACCATACAATTCCCCTCGCGGTATCCTTCCTACTAGTTGGGCTAATGCCGGAGTTTGCTTCTAATTTTTTACTCTTGGTGCCATGTTTTACGGGAACTGCCCCAAATATTTCGCCAACCTTTGACATCACCAGGAAATTAACACTTCCATTAACACTTCACGTGATCACTTTGCACTGCAATGCTGTCCCTTATGGAAACATGTGAGCAGAAACTTGCCTTCGTATTGCTGAAGAGCTGCCGTTCGCGGTGGATATGGACAGCCCAGCAGCGCCTCGAATCCGTTGATCATCAACTTTGTCGTTATAGGCGACTATCGGCCAACTCGATCAACGAAAAGAAAATAAAGCTGAAAGATCAAGGTGATCGTTTCGGCTTCCGTCAGAACGAAACATTGTGCTCACCCGACACAGCTGAACATCCAAACGTCTATCGCTTTCACATACGAGGCCTGAAAATTTGGTTCTCACAACAGTTTCAAGCATGTAACTGCTTGGTCTTTTTTCTGAAAGAGACTGAAAAATTGGGGGCTATTTCCACTAGCAGAATGTGGCATCAAAACCAAAGTGGGTTCCTATTCCAGATACATTTACCGCAGAAAGCCTACGGTGTAAGGTAGTTGGGGCCGGGGGGCACTTGACGATCGTCGTGAAAAAGTGGAATGTCGAGTTTACAAAAGGTTAGCTAAGAGATTACACCCAAGGATGCCCCCCCCTAAGTACCGGAAATAGACCGCCAACAGTAATGATTTCCCAGTTCAGGAAACCCACCTGCTCACGTACCTAGGCGAGAGATTTTACAATGTTTCCCAAACATGTAAAACGTCACCGCAAGGGCCCCATCAAATCTTGATGAGACCAGAGAGAGTGATTCCTTAGGCCGACAGAGCGCGAGTGTCCATCCAGAAGGCTATCCACGAAATGAACACCGAGACGTATGTTGGCAAGTACATCTAAAACTGGAGCGGTTCACTACTCTCAAGCAGTCGGATTGTAGTTCAGCACACCTGAAGAATGTAGAACCCGTAGAGCCTTTCAAACTCAATCGTGACGGCAAGGCGATGCCAAAGACCAGCCGTGTACGTCTGTAAAGTGACTAATTACTCAAAAGATCTCAGAAGACTTGAATGCGGTCTGTGGATTTACCTTCCGTTAGGAGTGGACTCACCTCCGTTACCGCGTCATAAGTCATGTTTGCCATTTTGAAGTCCGGCAAATTATAGTCGTCCTTCACTGTGCTCACCGGAGACCATTCAAGCCATCGAAGTGAGACCTGAACTAATGGAATAAACTGAACTACGGTATTAATTGGCATGGTGTAGCTGGGCGAATCTTACTAGCCATGTGCAGAAGGCTGTAAGGTCTGCCAGTGCTTGCTGTGGGCTATACGTGGATAATTAGCAAATTGGAAAGGAAATAAGGGAATTTTACGAGGTAGAAAGCTCTCGGCAGCTTTGCCTCCATTCACCGACCTCGGCTGAGTTGTACGAATAGCTTTCCAGTAACAATGTGCACTTGATGCTGTCCAGTGGAAACGTTCGCAGATCCATTCGACATGGTGCTGAACATGGAACAAAGACTATATGAGGAATTGAACTGCGGCCACAACTTTCTTTTGCGTGCAAACGAAACCTTCAGGATCGGACCCGATAGTTCAGCCATACGGTTCCATTGGGAAAAATCATGAGTAGAATGTTTGGTTTGGGGGAATCATGCACCTGAAATGTCTTGCTCGAGGGTTGTGCTGCGAATTCGATTGTGACTTGATCGGTATTAGATTCGAAGAGCATGCTTCTCCTTCGGACCTTTACATTGAAGGCGCTGCCCGCGACAAAAGTGTGATTATTTTGCTTGAAAATGAACTAAGAAAACCATCAGTGAAAAAAAAGCAAATGGACAGAGGAAGTAAAAAAAAATCCGGACCTTATTTCTCCAACCGTGGAACAACGGAAAGACCTGCAGGGAGGGGAAATACGCTAGATAGCTTAAGAAAGCGCAGACATCACACATGCTGCGAGTGACTTGTAATATTGGCAGCGGTCGTAGCTGTCAAATTGACTTTGCCTTCAAAGGCAAGATTCAGGATTAAATTGATGAGGTAATTCCACTCAAATGTGAAAGTAGGGGTAGGAAGTGGACCGCCAGTGGAGAAAAAAGAAAAAAATCGTGAAATACACAGGAAATACGAGCCTTTTGCTCTACGCTGCGGAGAAGTTCAAAAGGCCGGCAGGGAGATGAGAGATAATGTGAGCGCGGAGAGCGGTAGAGAAGTCCGAGTAGAGAGAGCATAGCAGATCAACATGCGACGCAGACAAGATATCGAGCGGTGGGCGGAGCGTGTCGTGGTGGAGCGTGTCAAAGTTCTTAGCGCCTAGCGTCTAAGTAACGCTTTTCGAAGTAGGGAAGTGACGCGACCTCTGCACTTGCGTACCTAGCGCTTCTAGCCACAGTAAAGGCTCATTAAGTGGGTCTGAGCCCGAACTTTGCCTTTAACTGGAAAGC